GGGGCCCACAGTGGCTCCCAGAAGCTATACGATGGCCCCCAGAAGCTATGCAAGGGCCTGCAGAAACTGTACTGTAGCCCCAGAAGCTATACAGGGGCCCTCAGTGGCTCCCAGAAGCTATAAGATGGCCCCCAGAAGCTATGCAAGGGCCAGCAGAAACTATACGGTGGCCCCCATAAGCTGTACGATGGCCTCCAGAAGCTATACAGTGTCCCCCAATGGGCCACCATATAGCTTTGGGGGCCAGGATATAGCTTCTAGGGGCTACTGGGGGCCCTGTATAGCTTCTGGGAGCCATTGGGGGCCATCATATAGATTCTGGGGGCCATCGTGTAGCTTCTGGGGGCTGCTGTATAGCTTCTGGGGGCCATCGTATAGCTTCTTGGGGCCACTGGGGTTCCCTGTATAGCTTCTGGGTGCCACCATATAGCTCCTGGGGGCCACTAATTAGCTTCTGGGGGCCATCATATAGCTTCTGAGGGCCACTGGGGGTCACCATATAGCTTCTGGAGACCACAGTATAGTTTCTGTGGGCCCTTGTATAGCTTCTGGGGGCCATCGTATAGCTTCTGGGGGCCACTTGGGGCCCCTGTATAGATTCTTGGGGCCACTGGGGGCCATCATATAGCTTCTGGGGGCTTCTGGAACCTAATCATTAATGTATTTTGCCAGGTTTCACCAAAATCTTCAAATATGGGGGCTGTCAGGAGGGGGTTTAATTAAGTTATAATTTTTTTAAACAAAAATGTATGTGACTATTTATCTCTAAAGCAAAGGGAGAATAACTTTCTTTTAACTCATTAAGAACGTGAAATGTAAAAACCTCATTATCAAGTGATGTTAACATAGCATCTGAAATGTTAGAAATATTACATAAACCATATGATGAATCATCTTCACTTCTAATCATGCTTTATACTTCAGATACTTTAAGAATCAAGAATATGAAGAATATGATGCATGGTAAATCATAAAATTGGATCTTTAATATACAGGGTCGAGATAACCGTTTTGACCCCTGTGAATGATAGTCAAAATACATGTAACCTTTCCACATACTTATTAGTTCAGTTCAATACATGCACATTTTTACTCAATAAGATTGAAACAACTATGGTTGTTACTTTTTTTGTTAATTTAATATTCTTTTTATAATTGTCAAACAATGACGTTCACAGTAGCTGCCTCCAAAGCTGGATAATTTTGTTAATTCTGATCCAATTTTGAAGATTTGTTGTCTCTTTAATGTTGCTTATATCTTCCACTCATCAAATAAGGGACAAAACTATGCACACATTCTGTCATATGGCCTCAGTTCTAATAGATATGTTGCTATACTAGGATATTCTGAACCAAAAATGGATTGATGACGTCATAATTAATGCAAATTAGCTAATTTGCATAACTGAATATCGTAACCATATAGTAAATTTAATAAGGTTTAATCAGATACCAATATCATCTCTATAGACCAAATAATGGCGAAGCTACATTGATTCAAGACTCCAAGGTAAGACGTATGTATATTATTGTCAAATAATGACATTCACGATAGCTGCCTCGAAAGTTACATAACTTTCGTAATACTGATTCAATTTTGAATCTGTTTTCACTTTTATGTTGCTTATACCTTCTACTAATAGAATAAAGGACAGAACCTTTCAGAAATTTTGCCATACGGCCTCAGTTCTAATAGATACGTTGCTATAGTTGGAAATCCGAACCAAAAATAGATTGATGACGTCATAATTTATGCAAATTAGATAATTTGCATTATTAAATATCAGAAATTCATTGAAAATTTAACGAGGTTCAATTTGGTACCAATATCATTTCTATAGACTAAATAATGACAGAGCTACAAATGATTTAAGATACCAAGGTAAGATGTCTAAAGATGCGTAACCATGGCAACTGAATGCCGCCATAAAAGTACTATGGGACATTAGTTGGCAATGTTAACAAATGAATTCATTAAATAGACACCCTAGGGATTACAAAAATGTATGTAACTTATTCACACCTTATGGGTGCATGGGAACCCCTTATTCCTACTATACTAATACTTTCATGCCAATTTTACCGCACTACAAACTGCGACATCAATGCAACAACTGAATAAAAGTATTCATCTTCAAATTACATTATAGAGTTACGTTGAAAACCCACAAATAACTGAGCAGTAGACCAAAGAAGACGCGTCGCTATTATCTAGGTCAATCTGTTCAGTGGTCCGAAAGCAAATCTATAGTACTCGTTTCCGAATTTTGCTGTTCATTGTACATTCAGTCTTTTATTGATTAAACTCAGTATACTGACTATTAAAGCAATGACAAAGAAGAATACTTACGATGGTGTCATTGTTTTATTTAGCGTGCGGGTGTAAAAACAAAATTGAGTAATTAGTTTGATTTAGAACTTTCGTGTCACGCAAATAGATACGCGAAATGCATAGTGGGAAAATATTGACCAATCAAATTTTGTCCTTTTTGAGTGCTTTTTAGTGCATATTTGCGAACGTTCTGATTCAAAGAGCGAACCGCGAAAAGGAGAATTACATGATATTATACCCAAAAATTGATGAGAATAGCTTCAATCATGCAATACTTGGCTCAACATAAGAGCGAATAACTCGTTTTTGAAAGCCAGGATTTTATTTTTATTCACAAAATCGTATTTCGCGGCAAATTGTTTCAACCACACACGTCATGTCACTTGACGTAAAATTTCTGCTCTGAAAATGAAATCCGTTTTGCCGCGAAAACAGACACGTAGTTTATAGCTTGACTCTGGTGACACACAGGATACATTTTGTGTGTGTCACACTGTAAATGTAAAAAGGTTTTATCTCCAATTTGACATTGAATGTTAAAATTTTATCTCAAGCATGGAATAAGAGATAGAACCATATAGCAGTAATTGTCTTTTTCAGACGACCTTAGAAATCTCACCCCTATTTTTCCTCTTCAGAGTTGTAACATCCAGTTGTAACTGAGTCACTGAGTTCACTCTCCAAATTAAAGAAATTCGCGGAAATTGCTTCCACCTTAAAGACATATTACCCCCTCCGTCCAATTTTAATCATTTTCGATTATTTTTTATCTCACGTATGGAGACTTATTTTAAAAACGTCACTTATAAGTATTTATTTCAGGTCGTGTAGACCATTGTTGCTTGATTTATAGCAAAATAAAGGATCCGTCATACTAAGTATAAAAAAATCCCCCGCGGTCATTCATAACCATTATGCCATATACTATGGTATTTCGTGAGGAGTCAATTATGGTATAGTGTTCAGGTGCACCCTAAGTGTTATTGAGGTCATAGTGATCTTGTGAAGGTCAAGTCAGTGCATATCTGAAAATTAAAGATTCTTGTGTGCAAAATCATCATTTACAAAATTTGAAATGTGAAAATATGATAAAGAATGTTGTAAAGGACAATTTTGACCTTAACCTTTGATTTTCAAAACGAAGTCAGGCTTTCATTTTTTTTGTTTTTATTATTTTATTTGGTTCCATTGACTTAGCATGTGGATATCAGTCTTATCTTGACATTCTAGGCAGGTTACCAATTTCCCTTAAGTTATTATTCAATTGAATAGTTATATCAACTTCACTTTTACGGTGCTTCCGCAGGCCTACGTCACACTAATTTCATCACTAAATTGTGCCCTTGGTAATAATGTTTATATTGAGGCATAAATAAGAGTGGCTTAGGCCTGCGGAAGCAATGAACCATTCGAATATATAGGTCAATACCTCAATACATCAAGTAAGTGAAAAACACACACAGCATGGTACGGAAAACAGGCCATATTTGATTGCATCCAATCAATATAAGATAAGAGTGCCTCCAAACTTTAAGGTATGCATAAATCTTGATATTGTTAAAATATGTAATGGTACAAATGGTATGAAACAAAGAAATGGTACATTCTTGGAATTGCCTCATAACATATTCTTGGGTTGATATTTCAAAATAAGTATGGAATCAGTGAGTTAACACTATTACCTTTATTGTTATTTAGGAATTTAACACATGTTCATACATTGGATTTAGACCTTATTTATAGTGACAATTATAGTCTCAGATTCTTGATCTTTCGTTACTTTGATGCTATATCTTGACAAAAATTGTTCCGATTTTGGAATGTTTTGGGCTCATCCAAAAAATACCCCAAGTATATACTTTATTTGAGGAAAACGTTTACAATAATGCAATCATTTGTCTTTAAGAATGGTTACTATAATTCTTATTATTTGGGAGAATTTCAATATCTTCCCCCCATTTTTGCACTTTGAATCTTAAATAACTTCACCAAATGATAGCATATCACGGATCTTTCGGGAGATATTATATTTGAGCTTGTAAGGAACATATTGGTAGATCAATTGTACAGATTACGTGTAATTTTGTCACTCCCTATAGATATGATTCTGCCTTTAATAGTTCTTATATCTTAGACATGTCAGAAGCCTATCGGTTCATAAAATCCTAGAAGACCTAGCATAGTTCCCCATATGGCGCGCCTATTCATTTAGCAATTCAATCGTAAACTTTCACTTGAAAAGATAAATCTTCCAGATTTGTTGAATTTTCTGGCGAATATCAGCTACTCGCTCCACCGTTCATTTTCACCGATCACACGGCGTGACCAGTATTCGAGCTATCTCCCGGACTGACTGGCGGACGGCTTCACTTTAACCCTACCGAACTTCGTTCGTTGGAATGAATATTGGAAAAGACAGATGTCCGAAATTCAGAATTCAGTTTTGAACTGGCGTTTTTGGACTTTACTCGAGAGCATTTTAGAGATTAATTTATTGATATATTAACGTATAGTACCATCTTAATATATCGTAGAGTTTACTCATGGTCACCTGTGTAATTATTTGTTAATTGGTGCTTTTTAAGGTACTCGACAACCATTTTAGAAGAATGGCATACGTAATAAATGATGTTTCTATATATTTATTATCTCACACGTTTTTGTTTACCTCTTGCTATATGTAAATCCAATAGTATCTCCCCTAGAACGATACCAGCGTCTAGCAGAACTAAGACACAAAGGACTATCTGAATGGGATTACTTTCCATCACACTGACGAGACGTTGCCGGCACCTGAAAAATAAATCACCTTACGAATAAACGGAAGGGGGAGGAAGATACATGGGGTCCATATTCATAATTGTTCGAATTGTTTGATTGATATTTTTTATTATCCCTTAGAATTTACTTGAAAGATATTGTGATAATGGCAAATGTCATATTCAAATTTATTAAGTGCCCATGGTAAAAGATAAGAACGTCTAAAATCACTTGCCATATTACACCTGGATCCTTGACTATTTTTACTTTATGATTCCTCACACGTTAGATTTACAGACATTTTTGTTGACGTACTTTCCAGACACCATATCTCAAAATCGTTAAGAGTAAACAAAAACGGATGTCAAAATTATGAAAGGACTGTTTCTAAGTTATACGATGGTAAAAAGATCAATGAGTTACGAAAAATAACGAAAAATGTTGAAAATGTAAGATTTGGCCTCGTTCTTGACAAAATGTAAGAAAGGATTGGTATCGATATGGTGAACTGAGTTCAACAATGTTTTTCTCTTAAACCAATTATTGAAAACATTCTGTAAAAAACACGAGCCTTTATGAAATGTTGACTTGTTGACAACAATTTCATGCGAAAATTATTTATCTATATTTTATATAATTGTTTTTGTTAACATTTTTTTGTTCTTAGTGCAATTGTTTTTTGTTCCTTTTTACCAACTCTTGAGAATAAAATAATATATCTTTCCGAAGCTTGTTGGAACAAAATAGCATATTCAACATTTCCTTAGACCTCTCAATATTATAGTTATACGAAGGTTGAATTGGTTGATTTAACAAAAAGTATTTAAAAAATTGAAACAAAACCCCCAAAAATAGATAAAAAATAAAGAAACCTTTTATTTCATTAACAAGATTTTTTTTAAATCAACCAAACTTCCCTTTGTACAACATAATATTCAGAGACCCACACACGATGTGTTTATGTCATTTTGTTCCAATGAGGTTCGGATAGAACTGTTTCATTTCATTTTGAACGTATGATACCAAAAACAAAAGACGTGTCTGATGTGTTTTCTAAAACAATATAGAGAAAGGAATATATATTTATTTCAAATGATATTGTTACCATTCAAAAATGACCATTCAATTGACGATGTGTAAAATATTCAGAATTTTGTGATGACTGGTTTAAGAGATGTGTGTTCAAAAAGTTCACCATATCGATACCCATCTTTTACCTAATTTCCCATAAACTAAGGTTCAGACAAAAACTGGGACACAGCAACCAGAAGAAAAGCAATGAAGTCCGGAGAGTCTAATAATACCAATACAAGGCATTAACATGACAAAATGTCACCACCTAGTTGCTCGCAATATTATGAGTTCAATCTTCGTCAGATTTGAACTTCTGAGAAGTTGTAGATGATTTTGAAAAGTAACTGGTTAATTTGAAGCAAGTTGAAAAAAGACCTTTTGACCATTTTACCATGGGAAGGTCAGTGAAGATCAAGTCTTAAATCTAAAAATCAGATTTGAATTTCTGAGATCTTGAACACGGTGTCCAACCCAAATGCACGACGGAGCGTTTCATTCACGCGGAAACGCTGCGGAGCGAAAAAAAATGGCGGCTAATGAAGATCCCACTATGACCTTAAGTATTGTTTCACTCGTTTCCCTTACATTTCATACGTTATGGTGACATTGAACAATACCCTGAGCAAAGATCTTATTTATTCAACTTCTGGTGGTAAATACTGTTATTTGCTTGATCAAAGCTCCGTAGTGTAGATCGAACGAATCTGAAGTTGACATATTGACCACACATTACGAATTAAACTAGTATTTATTTGAAAACGTCAATCTTTCTGTCAAAGTAGTTGATCACAAACTCGTATATTCTCATTTGCTAAAATCCCAGTCCGAATCCATTGCATTACTTGTTCTCGAGTAATCGCTTGTTTTCCTCGTTACGCTCTATCGGTTTTGGACACAATTGTAGAAACGCTCTTACCATTTTGCTTTGATATTATTTTCAGATTATTAGAGAAGAGTTCAGAAACGAATCTCTCTCTCAAAAACGTGATGTACTTGTTAAGGCAAATTGAAACTTCCCAACCTGGCGGTGCTACGCGTGCAACAAGTCGACTTAAGCCTACATAAACATAAAACTATTGACAAAAAGTTTATATGTGAATTAATCTTTCTTCTTCTTAGATCTCTTCTTTTTCTTCTTGAAAATGAAAGTCAAGCTAATTCCTAAACATATATTTAGTACCGCAGATCGCAGCGTTTCTTGAATATGAGAATGTCATTATTTTTAAGACTGGATTTTTGGTCATCAAATCACAATTACGATCATGTATGTTGTGTTGAAGCTTTGGAATTTGACCAAAATATACTCTGATGCTCTAATCTTGACTCAATTATTCACATGTCTCGACGAGGGTGTTTCATAAAATAAGGTGCATTTTAATCTTATTTGAAAATTATACATAACATCAATGTTAAATTTTCAGAGTTGATTATTTATGGAAGTGGCACCATTTCTGTGAGGTTTGATAACTATATAGCTCCTTATTTTGTAAAATTATGGCTCACATGCATGTATGCGTTGTTTATCGTTGACGGGAAGATCAAATGTTCTTTGCGCGATCCAACGCATTTTAGCGAATAAAAGTAGCCATTCGTCACACTTCGTAAAGCATTCGCTACAAAGAGTTACCATTCGTTACGTTTCTAATTATGTAGCAAATTTTAAAACAGATTCCGCTCAAGCTTCGCCAATATTGACAAATTTACCCCATGCGCTGCGTTTGGTGGATTCGCTTATATGTGAGGGGGTCTTTAAGTCAGATTTGAACTTCTGACAAGTTGTAGATGATTTTGAAAAATTGGTCAATTTGAAGCAAGTTGCATGAAAAAATACCTTTTTGATCTTTTTGACCTTGATGAGAAGATCAATGAAAGTCAAATCTCAAATCTAAAGCCAGCTTTGAACTTCTGAGAACTTCTGTACATGATTTTGAAAAGATTTGAAGTCAGTCTAAACAGTACTTGTTAACTAATTGGACATTTTTAGAATTTGTCACAGACGCCGGACGCCAACCATCAACCGCAAACCGCCAATCACAAATCGGCAGCCACCAACCGCCGCCACAAAAACGGAGACCATTACGATATGTCACCACTTTTGGTGGTAACATAAAAATTACGGATTTTTTTGATCTGCAGTGTGGTTCGAGATGTTGGAACTCGATGCGAGAGTGGAGTACGGAACTGGAAGTTCGCGACTAACGAACCGATATTCGCGTTTTTAGAACGTGGTTAGGGTGAAAGGAACTTGGTCAGACAGGTCGGAACTGACGACTGCATGAGTCGAAGTCCAGGAGGCATGTTCTCATTTAAATTGACGTATGCATTTCAAATATGACAACTTTAAACAAATAAATTAAAACAAAAATGTATTGGATATGAAATTTATGTTAAACAACCAAATAATAATGCACGAATTATTTTTTGGATCAAAAACGCATTTTGAAAATCTTTTTCGGCCTTAAAATCAGTATATTTAAATCGCCGTCTATACTTACGTCTTCGGTCCTTCTTCCTCTGCAAGGGAGCCAATCTCGTCTTTGAGGACTTCGACATCGATGTTGTCATTTTCCAATTCTCTCAAAAACTCCTGATCTCGTAAAAAGTCCTTGCCACCCAGCACAGCACTGAAATTATACGTTTAAGATGGTTTGTTTTTTAAAATGTTCATTGACTGGATGAACACTATAAAAGTGAGTATATCTAAGCACACTGAAATGCGAAAACTGTGATTTTGGAGCCCGTGTCTACGGGGTCAAGGATTTATCTTATGTCAAAATGGGGCCAAAACAAACATGTAACTATTGATTTACTGTTCTTAACTATTTCAAAAACAGTAAAGAACAGTAATGTTGGAGACCATGTCTAGGCATTAGGGGTCAAGGATTTCATTTATGTCGAAATCTAAGTCATAAAATATTATTTTTTAGAAATCCAAGATGGCCAACAAAATGGGTGCAAAACGAATATGTAACTATTGATTTAAGCTCAAATAGCAGTTTAGAACAATGATTTTGGAGACCATGTTTAGGTTTTAGGGGTCAAGAATTTCATTTATGTCTAAATCTGAGAGATCAAATAGTTACTTGTTATAAAAATCCAAGATAGCCGCCAAAATTGGTGCCAAAACGAAATGTAACTATTGATTTAAGCTCAAAGAACAGTTAGTAACAGTGACTTTGGTGACCATACCAAAGGGTCAATCAAGGATTACGATTATGTCTAAAACCACAAATAATTACTTTATTTGGTGTGCCTCAAGAGCAACTACTTTATACCTCTACTGGTGCTAGAAACTTCTCATCTCCTCTTTTGATTGCACAGCCCCTTAGTTTTTGGTTTTGGTCTACTCTCATTTGTACTGCCTTTGTAATTTTCACGTGTTTTAAACTTCTTCCGATATATCTAGCCTTGCTATAGAAAATGTAGATTGGATCATACACTCATGATTCTGATGATTTGTTTCCAGATGGTCTATTTTGTGCATAGTCACTTGTATTAACCTCCTCACCGCTTATGCTTTCATCTATGCCCTCATCTTCTTTTCTTTTCAGAGTTTCCAGATCCATTTTCATGGTAAAAGGCATCTACATTTTCTATGATTGATGATTTCTAGGAGTAGATTGTCTCTAAGTTCTTTAGCAATATTAAGAATAGGATCAAGGTTTCTCACAATGTTCATCCTCATCAAATCCCTTCTGGTGTATAATACACTTGTCTTTGGGGGAATTTTTTGTACTTGATCTGCTCCATCTTGTTTTAAACAGGTTCCAATTATCTACTTCTTCCTATGTGCTATCTACCTCTTTCTATAATCAATACAAGGTTCATAATACTAAATGACAGCCACCGCTAAACTGGGAAAGGAGGGAAACTTAGTGAAATTACAGTAATGCTGTTAATGCAATCGTACCTAAAATGTAGGATTTTATTTCGCAAATGATCATGGAGTTGTTTGTTCTTATTTGACCTTTGTAATGTAAACATTTTGTTATTCATCTTGAATTCTAATTCTAAAATTAAATTGTTCCATGGTATAGCTTTGACATAACTGAAATTATTGACCCCTTTTATCTAGACATTGCTTTCATCATATGTACTGTGCTTAAATCAATAGTTACATTAATTATTTTGGCAGTCATTTTTGCAGCCATCTTTAACATCCATATAAATAAATTATTCAATGATTTTATTAAGACAAAATTAAAATCATTGACCTCATAGACTAGAAACGATATCCAAAAATAATGTTTTAACTGTTCTATGTGTTTAGATCCAAAGTTGTCTGATCTTTTCATTTTTTTATTCAGACTTTGAACGGTATTCTGCAGTTCAAACCTATGTACATTTTTTTATTCGAACTTTTCTTTTTTGTTTTTAAACAGTTCGGTATTTTTCATTTTTCTATTCAAACAGTCCGGCATTATCGATCCTTGAATACACATGCGCAAGAACACAAGCGATTTGCTTGGCCCAATGGAAGCTTTGAATGGATCCACATGGGCGTACTAATACAACATCACAGTGTACGTGCGCAGACCCCAGAATGCTGAACTGTTTGAATAGAAAAATGATCTTGCGAAAGCTGCTGTCTTAGTTCGAACATTTGGAGCATTTCGAACTTGTTAACATTTTGATTTAAACTTTTGAATGGAAATACAGTTTGGAATTTTTAGTTTCAATCTTTTTGAATGGTGAAAATTGAACATCGAAGCTCCCATTGATCTTTCTATCAAAGTTTTTTTTCAGTGTTTGACATTTGATTTTTGGTGTTGGTGTTGGTGTTGGTGTTTGGGTTTTACTTTTGAAATAGTTTTTTCTCAGTTTAATATTTGTTAAACGAGACTAGTAAGTTTTAAAACATTTAAACACGGACAAACATTACTAAAACTTCAGTATTTGATATTTCAAATGAGCAAATAGACGACTCATCCATGTTTGAATCAAATTTAAAACAAGCCTTGTTACATACCTAGATGCGAAAAAACAAAAGCAAAAACTAGACACCAAACAGAAAAAATCAAGCTGTTAAACACTGAAAATATATTTCATTGCAAAATCAATAGCTAAGCTTCGATGTTCCAAAACGTTTGAACCAAAATGGTAGAGCGTTCAAACTAAAATGGTACTGGAAGTTCTAACCTAAATTATGGTTATAAAATGGTCTAAAAGTCTGAAGTTAAGAAATCAACATTGCCCTTCGGCAAGATCATTTCTCTATTCAAACAGTTCGTCATTCTGGAGTCTGGCAGGTTTCATAACCCATTTTATAACTAGGCCACGTTTGCCTTTGAAGTTGATTTCAGAATGTTTGCTGTTGGTTTACGATTATTCTCTATAAATTTGGATGACGTAACTTAAATAGTATTTACCATAGTTTAGAAATGGTGATGTTGAACGTAAATAAACACCATTTCGAAGATTTAAAATTTTACTTTGCGCATGCGCGACTCTCATGCTCGTTCACATGATCATATTCCTCAATTTGATTGGACATTATATTCTGATGGTCGTGATTTAAAAAAATTATGTTCATGAATACCAAGGAATACCAACGAATTATCGGAGCTACTCACTTCTGTAGTACGCCCGTGCGGATCTATTCATAGGTTTCATTGGACCAATCAGATTACTTCGATTCTTACACATGCATTTTAAAAGATTAAGAATGCTGAACTGTTTGAATAGTAAAATAAGAAGTACCGAACTGTTTGAAAAGAAAAATGAAATGACCCGAATAAGAAAATTGTACATAGGTTCGAACTGCAGAATACGGTTTAAAGTTCGAATACAAAAATGAAAAGTTCAAACAAGAATAATGTTCAAAAGTTTCTACATAAAAGTTATAGAATAGCTACAGAACTCGACACATGTTTTTTTTATTTTTTAATCCAAGATCTAAATATTTTATTTGATGTTTTAAAAACATTGGTTTGATTTTATTTTTTTTAGATTTGATACATCTTTCTTGTTTGCTGTTTTCAACATTATTTCGAATATTTGAAATATATCAAATGCAATATAATATTGTATTTCGAGCCATTTCTGACCCTATCGTTCCCAGTCTTCATACAGTATTGGCGCTCAAGATGCCCAATCGGTAGAAACGTTTTATTTATCTTGAGAGTGATATATTGTTTCCATGTGATTTTGTAAAAAAGAAAATATTATAAGATCTACCCTGAAACACTAGTAAACTGTGCACTTTATAATACTTAGTATTTGACGATAACATGAGGTTTTTAGGGTATATTACGAATGGACTTTGATCGCGTTGAAGGTTTCACAAAATCAAATTGCACTCCTAATTGCTATATTGGCCAAATTGAGAGTAAAATTAGCGTTTAATTTGGTTCTTCGTCTAAGATTGACTCTAGGGAAAAACATCTGCTGTAAGCGTATCGTTGTTAAGCACAACTAAAGCCTACCAGGATAGTGTGGTTCTCAAGGCATTAAAATTAAAAATGTCACCAACTAGTTGCTCACAATATTATTAGTTCAATCATAAGTCAGATTTGAATTTCTGAGAACTTGTATCTAAAAATGGTCAAATTGAAGCAAGTTGAAAAAATACCTTTTTTGACCTTTTTTTGACCCTGAGAAGTTCAAATCTCAAATCTAAAGTCAGATTTGAACTTTTGAGAACTTCTAGGTGATTTTGAAAAAAGTGGTCAAATTGAAGCAAGTTGAAAAATACCTTTTTGACCTTTTTTGACCTTGAGAAGTTCAAATCTCAAATCTAAAGTCAGATTTGAACTTCTGATAACTTGTAGATGATTTTGAAAATAACTGAAGTCAGTCTAAACAGTATTGTTGCAGCAGCATTTTCAGTTAGGGGAGAGTCTTGGATGAAACTTCAACCTAGGTTATAGCTTCGCAGAGTGGTAGGAAGTTCTTTTTTTGAGGAATTAGCCCCCCAACTCCGCTCCAAAAATGTCATATTTTTCGAAAAATCAACAATTTTTGTAGTTGTCCAATCACAAAGGTCTTTTCAAAACCCATTATGCTTCAAAATGCGTCAGAACCTCTGTTTTTGGTAGAACTTCGATATTTGAAAATAGTGCGCGCATTTGGGTATTTAGGAATGGAGAATACAAATTACTACTTTTCTCCTGAGAATATTAAGATTGCAGCAAGCGTGTAATGACTGATTTAATTAACATGAGAATATATACCGTTGACTTAAAATTCTATCATCATATCCCTTGTAACCTTATTATCATTTTAAATAATGCCCTTATACACTTATCACAGGGGTGGATCCGAAAACTAACAAGAGAGATGTGACTAAATTCTAAGTCTTCCACAATATTTGGGGCCCTAAAACTGAACATTTTGAAAAGCTAAGGCCCATTTTGTTGATAATTTGGCTTAGAATTAAAAAAGCCCACTATTTTTTTCTGGGCCGACCTTAGGCCCTCCCCTTATCTGCCAGTGTATTAATGCTATAACAATATATAGGAGCACTGCACGCAATCTAAACTTTTCTACGACATATTACGACCCCGACGCTTTAATCAAGCTTTGTTACGCTTTGGTGCCGCTTTACAAGTCGCCTTAAAGCGCCATGCTTTGGTGCCGCTTTGCTCGCCGATTTAAAGCGTGGCATTCGCCGTTGGTGTTAACG